CTCTCTCCAGTCATAACCGCATAATCCATTCCAGATTCGCGTGCTAGCCTAGAAGAAAGCGAATACTCTTATCCCAACACTTCATTCTTACGTTCTAGCGAAGAGAGTCTTTCCGGTTCCTGGATGCCCATGAAGGAGAAGATGACGGAAAGGAGTTCCATTCGTTCGCGCTGTCAACAAGGAATTTGTGGTCCACTGCAAGCGCTCCGATAGTTCTTGAGGTAAAACAATTTTTTCTTGAAAGTCAGGGCGTTTCATCCACGGCCACAAATTCCTCCAATTCCAATTGCGAGTTAACGACCAGCGGGACGTTTCTCTCACCAGAGGAGGTTTCCCGAGTCTTGCCTCCACGTATCTCCCTGCAACTCCCGTTCCGGCGCGTGCTCCGTAAACTCCAACCGCCAGAACGGACAGTCCAGTCACGAGTGTCGTCATTTTCGCTTTGTCCTCCAGCAGTGCCTTGAAAGCCCACCGATTGAGGCTAAACTCGATTGCATGACCTCTACGCGTGTTTTTCTATCTTCTGACGCCCTAGCTCGAAGTTCTCTCAAATGGATATCAACATTATCCCTCTCTTGTTGAATGCGTCCCTTTGTTTCTTCTTGAATTCGCATCTTCACCAATTCGCGTTCCATTGCCTTCTCTTCTTGAATCTGTGCACGTTTCATTTCAAGCAACTCTTTTTCGTTTCTTTTACGGATTTCCTCTTGGCGCAAAAATTGTTGATGCTGTTGGCTGAGCCACTCCTCATTCTGTTTCTGTTGATCCTGCAGCTTTTTCGAATAAGCTTCAGATTCAAGTTGCGCCTTGTATTGCGCGGTAATACGTTCTTGCTCCTGTTGGTGCGTCGCTGTTTTGCGCCTCTCATCCCCCTCGACGCGAGCTCTTTCCGCCATCATTTGCGCTTTCGCTTGCTGGATCGACTCCATGTCGCGCGATATCTCCTTCTGCTTTGTCATTTCTTGCAGCTTGGTGATTTCGAATGCCTTTGACCGCGTTCGGGGACGCGTCGAGCTCCTTAAGAGCTTTGGCTCCCCGTTCAAGGGCTGAAGGGTCAAATCGCCCGTGATGTCCCCCGCTTTCACATCGCCGGTGGGAGGAGCAGAAGGCTTGGGCTGGCCGCCGCCCCCCGAAGAAGGAACGCTCCCTCCACTAATACTCGGAAAAAAACATCCAACTAAGAGGGACAAGAAGGCAGTAGGACTGGGTCAGGTTATAGGCACGAAGAGAAATGAAGAAGATCGTCGATGAAGCTACTTCGGCATCAGAAGAAGCAAAGAAGGTTTTGAAGGGTGGATTGAAGCGCGAATGGAAATCGAAGGGCGATCAATTTTCACGCCATGTAGCGCGATTCATTAATGAAGGGGAAGGGGCAACAGCATGGAAGAAGAGAAAGAAGAGAGGGACAAGCGCATAGTAAGTGGAAGTGATTGGAAATCATTTTTGATTTTTTATTTTCAGGCCGTTAGAGAAGCAGAGCGAGAGTTGAAGGCGGAAAGGGGAAGGGAGCTCAAAAAGAAACGAGAAAAACAAAAAGAAAAGGAAGCGAAACAGAAGGAAAATCTCATCAAAGCTGGTGGAGTCCAAGTTATAAAAAATACAACAAAAATACGAAAGTGGAGTAAAAAAGCAAAACAGCAATTGGTGAAAATGTCGCCAGGATTGATTGAAGAGTTGACTGGAAAGAAGTTTTGAACCGTTACTTGATTGCCATTTTCCTCACCTACAACTCCTCAGCAACTGGGAATGGGGCGATCGACTTTGGGTCCATCTGTGCGTCCTTGTATTACGTTTCAATAATCAGTGAAAGTGTTGCCCTTCAAGAAATCTAACAGTTGGATGAATCGCTTGCTGGTTTTATCTCGTCTGTGAGTCATCGATGATCATAACGTCGCAATGCTAGTGCGATGTACCAAACCTCATGATTGGAATGATGGCGTGGTGTATTGTGGCGAAGCATTCAACCTAAATCCGAGTTGTCAGAGAACACACAGCAAATAATTCGAGGATGCCCTCTCTGGCAAAGCGAGGGGTACGTCTTTGTTCGATGAAAGAGAGAGTGAAGCATTTAGGACACATTTTTTAAATCTAACGAGAGATTCTCATTAAATCGAATTGATCAATAAGCACGCGCGCACGACATCTGATGGACTGGTAAACCAGGTGAACAGCGTTCCTGAAGTTTTATCATTTTTTCATCATCCATTTTCCGTTTTTTTTTCACCATTTCCCGCGCTATGGCACCACCAAGAGTCGTATTCGTTCTGGGAGGGCCGGGTGCCGGTAAAGGAACTCAATGTGCGCTGATTGAGAAGAATTTGGGATTCAAGCACATTAGCGCTGGTGAGTCCAACTGACATAAAAAACATCGTATGATTGTTTGTTCAGGCGATTGTCTTAGAGAGGAACGTAGTAAACCTGATTCACAAGTGGGTGATTTGATTAATCACTGCATCAAAGAAGGGCTGATCGTTCCCGTGGAAATTACATGTAAGAGACGATGGACAGAGATAAAAGGATTTCTGGACAAGAGTTTTGATCTGATTGGATTCCATTGGGTTGAAATGGTTGCTGAGGTTGACCAGCACGCATTTGTGTCCTCCCGTTATCTTTCTTCCAATCCGTGATGAATCTCTTTCAGGTTCATTGCTGCGGAAGAAGATGGAGACGTACGGATGGGACAGTGGAAAGTTTTTAATCGATGGCTTTCCACGTAATTCTGACAATCTGGAAGGATGGGAAAAAACGATGAGTGTAGGTGCAATTGTTACGCGCAATTGTTACGCGCAATTGTTACGCGCAATTGTTATACAACTCTACGATTTTAGGACGTGGATATTCAGTTTTGTCTCTTTGTGGATTGTCCCGAGGAAGAAATGGAGAAAAGGCTTCTGAAAAGAGGAGAACATTCTGGCCGCATTGGTGAGTACTACACAGCAGTAATTGGTGTAGTGGTTGGTGTCCTACTTAGATGACAATATCGAATCCATACGTAACGATTCAAGACGTATGTGAGCGACACAATGCCGATCATTAAGGTAGGGTTCGTCACTGAGATCCAATACAATTGTGGTGTTTGTTTCAGTATTTCGAAGAATTTAATAAGTGTCGCACTGTCAACGGCTGTCGTCCAGTTGAAAGTGTGTGGGAAGACGTTCAAAGTGCATTTGCTGAAACTTCCCCTCAGGCCAGAAACTAGCCTTCTTTTTTCGTAGCTGTGTTTATTTTTCGATTCCTAATAACAGTAAAACGTCTTCGTGCACCTGATGGAGGGGGTGGAAACTAAAGACCTTGATGTGACGTTAAAGAAAACACGTCGAGGCCAACTTCGTCGTCTTGTTCGGGAGATCTATCTCCGTGACGACATTACATGTGGAGTATCTGGCTGTGAAATTATGCGACCCACTCCAAAATCCTGGTGAGTCATCGACAATCTCTTTTATTATCTTTTTTCTTCTTTTTTGTTGTCTCTCTTGGTATCTCTCTTTCTCTTGTTATCTTTTCCAGGTATTTTATCATTTGAATCGATAACGATCGTCTTCTTCTTCTCGATCATTCTGTTCTTGACAAACAAATCGATTTTATCTCTGATGATATTTCAATAAACAATTGTATTTTGCCAACATCTGCATTGAACCAGGTGAGCCCCTCCAGCACCCAATTATTAACCCTTTCTATACACCTCGCAATATCCTCCCCCATTCTTTTCAGATTAGACAACGTAATCTCCAAACATATTCGCGATTACGAGGACTTTGTCGTACAGTACGTCACCAACCTCTCATCCACTCCCACATTTTTCGGTCTTTCAGCTCCGAGCATCCGACCAGACGCAAGATGATTCTGACAATTCGAGGAGGTTCTTTGTTTACGCCAATCCGTTTTCCCGGAACACGCACGTCAAACGTGTCTCAGGTGAGGCGGACTGCAAGTCACCATCATCGCACTGTATGAATTCAGGTGAATCAACTGAGGAGTACGAGGAGCGTCAAATATGGAATTTAGCGCACTGGTACAGTCAACACCTGACACGTGGATTTCCTGAAGTTCCAATGTCAACTCAAAGTCCCGTGCTGCTCATTACAAACAATCGAAAGTCCAAATGTCGCGCTGAATGTCAAGGAATCACAGCGATGACTGTTCATGAATATGTTCAGTCCGTCTCGGATCTCTTCCCAATGTCTGGAGAGAAGCTTGCAATGATGGTAGGATATGATAGAGCTGTAGGCATGTCTGTAGGTTGTTCCTTTTTCTCCACTAGTTGGAAGAAGAAGACGAGGACATTGTGGATGATTCCGTTTTCATGGAAAATGACTTGAAGAGGTTAAAAACAAATGATGGAACAGAATCGCTTCCGAAACAAAGGGAAAGAAAGGCGCGATATGACGCTCATATGAAACTCTCAGCTCTAGAAAGCGGAATTGCACTGGGAACAATTCATCGGGTGTGTTTCTCAATGAATGTGGAAGCACAGAGTTGGCATTCTTGTAGGGTATCATTCGCATGGCACGGCATTCCCATTTGACCGGGACGGTTGCCTGCCACGGGGTGGGAGAAGTTCGAATTGGAGGTACAAGAACATTAACCGAGCGGTTGATGGGGATCTTGTTGCCATCAAACTTATCGAAAGTACTTCAACGACGGATGATCGATTTTTTCTCGATGATAATGAAGCAGAAGAAGAAGAAGAGAAAACTGAAAACGGAAAGACCGAGGAGATGCCTGTGGATGCTGTTGAAAGACGAAAGACTGGACGAAGAAGAGAGCAATCGAAGCCTAGAGATGAGTCGGAAGCACGTTTGGAAGGAAAAGTGGTTGGAATTCTTAAAAGAAATTGGAAAGAATACGCAGGAACCTTAATACCTCTCAAGGAGGCGCAAAGTGAGTTGTGAGATATGGGACGATGAGTGATGCTTTTCTGATGGACAGCAATTGGTGTTTCAACGTTTGTTAAAGCTGAACGAATTTTCAAACCTAGGGATCCTCGCATTCCTGATATTATGATCAAGGTGTGATTGAATGATCTTCTTAGAATCAGTTCAGCATATTGATGAGTTATTGTGGTAAACACTCGTTTGTCGTTCCGTATCTATTGATCCTAAGACTACTAATGAGTGTTTCTCTCAATATCATCTTTGGTTTTTGATGTCTCGTTTATCTTTCATTAGACTCGACGGTCGAATCAGTTGGATGGAAAACGTCTAGTCGTGGTGATTGATGATTGGGATAGACATCACCGGTATCCCGCTGGTCATTGGACAAACGTAATTGGTGACGTTGATGACCCCACGACAGAAACAAGTGTAATTTTAAAGGAGTATGACGTTATTACGAGGTGATCTCTCAAAGGAGGGGCCTTCAATTCTCACATCATACTGTTCTCAGAGAGTTTTCTGACGCTGTTCTACGATGTCTTCCCCCTGCCGACTACTCACCTCCACCGGAAGAAATTAAACGTCGTTCAGATTTTCGTGAAAGATTGTTTGTTCCATCGATCCACCAGGCTGCAAAGACATTGACGACGCTTTGAGCTGTGAAATGTTGAAGAATGGAAACTATCTCGTGAGTTCATCGACGAATAGCAAAAGAAACGCGTAAAATTAGAGTCAGCTGAAAACATGCAGATATTCTCTATCAGGTTGGCGTTCACATCGCTGATGTTACGCATTTCGTATTGCCGGACACTGCTATTGATTTAGAAGCGGCAGAACGGTGTACGACAGTCTATCTAGTACAGAAAAGGACGGATATGTTACCCAGGATTGTTAACAACTGATTTATGTTCCCTTGTGTAAGTCCTTCAAGCGATGATTTGGAGGTTCAATTGTGTCAAACGGCTGTTCGCATTCGCTTCTTTCTTTGCAGTGCTAATGTTGATCGTCTGACGTTTTCCGTCTTATGGGAAATGAACAAGGACGCAGAAATCGTGGAAACGACTTTCCATAAAGCAGTCATTCGTTCGCAACGTGCATTCACTTACGAAGAAGCTCAAACCATGCTTGACAATTCAGATGACAAGTGAGTGTCTGGCGACGAAGTTTCTGCCTCTCTTGGCGGACTCACAGTTCTTTCATGGAAACTTCAGGTCCCCACTGAAGGTTTCGGTGAGTCAACTGAACAGTCTGGCCAAAAAATTAAGGGCAAGGCGCATGGCTGCAGGAGCACTTGAATTAGCGTCTTTAGAAGTGAGTAGCGACTGAAGTAGGGATGTATTCGGTGATTGTCTTCCGCGGGTATTGCATTGATTCTCCACCTGGTTTTTAGGTTAAATTTGAAGTCGATAGTGAGACCCATGATCCTTCTGACGTTGCGGTTTACACAATTCGAGATACAAACAAACTTGTTGAAGAATTCATGTTGTTAGCGAATTCCAGTGTAGCAGCTCGCATATTAGAAAGTCTTCCCTTGCATTCTGTATTGAGGTGAGTGGGAACAATCTGGCAGATCCTAACGTTTCCTTCAGGCGGCATCCACCACCGAAGGAAGATGCTCTGAAGGCGTTGCAATCCCAACTGGCTTCTGCTGGTTTTTCGAACTTCCAGTAAGTCATTAGAAAACTGCATACGTGTCAACCAGATGTCCGTGAGCCGTGTCGATTGTTTTCTTCCAGGTATCAAAGTTCTCATGAACTCGCAGACTCCCTCAATAGAGCCGTTCGTGATGGGGATCCATTTTTCAATAGGCTTGTTCGCTGTTTGACAACCCGCTGTATGAACCAAGCTGTTTATATGTGTTCTGGAGATGTCGGTCATGATGAAGAAAACGCAGCAGAGACCCAGATAGCAGAAGCCGTCATGATTGATCAAAATTTGGTCAAGTTCAAGCATTACGGTCTCGCTGCTACTCTTTACACTCATTTCACTTCACCCATCCGGAGGTATTTTTGAGAAATATAAAATCTCTAGCAGGATTGCTTCCCATATTCGTTCAGATATGCTGATGTTCTTGTTCATCGGCTTCTTGCTGTTGCTCTACATCTTGTTCCGCTTCCAGATCAACTTTGTAAAAAATCCCAGGTTCGCTCATTTCCCAACTCATTATCGAGTCTTGTGTTTCTAGATTTCTTCTCAATGCGATCAATGAACATCAAACATCGTAATGCTCAATGGGCTTCGAGAGCATCTGCTGATTTCTTCACTTATCGCTATTTCAAGTGAGGGCGATAGATTTGACTCGAGCGAATCTTTGATCTCGAATTCTGCGTTTTCTTCTTCAGAAATAAGGGAATGGCTGAAGTGGATTCTTTGATCATCGCCGTGAAGAAAAACGGATTTCAAGTGCAGATTCCAAGGTTTGGGATTGAGGGTGAGGAATGACTGAATTGATTCCACTGTCATGATCGATCGTTCTGCAGGGCTCGTCCTTCTCGATCGGTTTGCATGCGATTGGAACCCTGTTACACAAAAGTTGATCGTTGCAAACAAAGACACCAACAAAAAGGAAATTCTTGGTCTATTTGATCATGTTACAGTTAGAATCTTTGCAGATAATAAGGATTTTCGGTGAGTAGTCAGGGCACGGAGTGATGTCATTACCTTGTTATCTTCGTTATCGCACTCTCAGGCCAAAAACCATTCTTCAGCTTATAGGGAAGACTCCTACAGAGAAATACGAGGGGTTTGAGGTAAACCAGCGCGTCAAAGCAGTCATGTTCGTATTTTTTGTAGTGGGTCGTGAGTGAACGGGAGAAGTTCGAGAACGCGATCAAGAAGGATGAAAGCACGTGTACCAGTTGATTCTCTGTGACAACTCGTTTTTTTCTTTTTCGTCTTTTCGTTGATGGACTTCGATGATGTCTGCGAAGCGACACAACCATTCTTCGTTGAAGAAGAATTAAATACCAAAGAAATAATTAAGAAAATCCCGCTTGTTCGCATATCTCCCGAGATTGCTCCTGAAGACGAACCTCCGTCTGCCGCTTGCGAGAAATCTATCAGTTGGGATTCTCCCTCTGGGCTCAAACCATCTTGCACCCGACGCTGCAGGTGAGAACAATTGGGAGGATGCAGCAGAGAGCCAGCAAGTTCTCCAGCTTGATAGAGAAATCGAATCTCGGGAAGTTCGAAACCCACGCTCTGGGGTGCATCGACAGCGCAAGCTTGGGAGGGTGCGAACAGACAGTGGGGAGGAATGCATTGAATTGGAGAGGAATGATGAGACCCGGGGTCCCGTAAAGGAACCGGAAAACCAGCTCAGCGTGTATCCCGTCGCTGTCACCGAAACGCCGCATGACGCAACTCTAGAAGATCCCGAAATCGAACATAAGCCCATCCATCCTCTTCTCAATAAGTGCGCGACGTCCAAGCCATCTCCGTCAAAACCTGATTCAGTTTCAAGTTGTATGGCGAGAGCTTTCAGTGACGCAAACTGCAATACGGACTTTCTACAACCACCACCAGAACATGAAGAAGAATTTTTGAAACCGAAGGCATTAATTCGAGAGAAAAGAATTTCTGACTTGGGACATCGTCTTCCAACACACGATGCGCGTCAAACAGGATCCTCGCCGGGCTCTCCACAGGGCACCGGTTCCAATGACGTATTTCTCTGTAAGCCTTCATGACGTCTTGTCTTCTAGATGAAGACGCGCTCTTGTCTCTGGTCAGCGGGTGTCGCTACCGAATTCAGCAATGGGGACAGCAGCGAAACGAGAACGTTCTCCGTGTCTGAGTGGCTCAAGTGTGAAGCGGCAGTGTCTCGATAGGGAACGAATTGTTGGGGAACCTTCTTCTCCACAAGACGCGGTGAGTGATTCGATTATTGATTGATGAATGGTTAATGTTTCAGTCAACCGCAGTATTCTCAATGATGTCTACATTCGTCGTTCATGAGATTGTTATTGTGCCGAGAAAAAACGACGAGTTTTGCTACGGAAAATTTTTGATTCCCAGTACGTTTTGGCATCTCTGGATCCTTGATTCACCATATTGTTGAGCTCATGAATCAAGGTTTCCGGTTTTACACCCTCTTGTACTCTCAGCAAGGAGAAGGGGGCCCTTGTTGTACTTTTGGGAAGAGGGCCAACAGGAACTCCATTGAAGAAGGCTCTTCCACCTCTCTTTGTTGGGAAGCTCGGTGTCAATGCCGTTTCTCGAGTGAGCCCCTATGATTCCCAAATCCCTAGAAACAAGCTTCCTCTGATGCGCCTCTGATTTCTTCAGCCAGATACTCTCTCACCGAACAATCGAAGAGCTTTGCACTTGGATCAAGGAGAAGGGGGAAGGATTACCAGGTAATCGACTCTCATTAAATATTCTATCACGATATTTTGTTTTCAGGCTCTATGTGCCTCCGCCGTTTTTCTCATCAGCCATCATGCACAGCTGTTGTTCGACCAAACAACTTCCACGCATGATTTTCGTCCGCCTGAAACCAGCCGAACGACTCAAAAAGAGGTCTTAGCTAGATTTCCCACGAAGCTTCCCGCAAGTGCGACCTTTACTTCTTGTTGCCACTCTCGATGCTCTTTTTTCCTTTTCACAGGTTGAGTGAAGCAACAATGAACTTTGCGTTCGAGGTAGCAGCTTCTTTAAGTGATTCGTTTTGACTACTTTTCACATTTTTGTTTTTACAACTACAAGAATTACTTATAGGAACAAGTCTGTGTGGCCCTTTTTGAACCACCTCATTATGTGAACGACATGGTGCCTGACGGTCCCCCAAGCTTTGTACCGACCTTCTAACTGTTGGGAATGGCAACCCTCCACTATAACGTCCCACACAATCTCCTGTGCAGCCTCGATCGTTACAGAACGACTTCTTCAAGATGTTGGTGCCACCACACCGCAAACATGGGCTCCCTGCGAGTTGGATGGAAATGACCGTCGTCAATTTTTGCGTAAATATACATTCACGATGGCCGAATTGGAGCAGCAAGCTGAACAGATTATTGACTATGCGGAGGAGCAGCAGAACAAAGAAGCGGCTCATGAAGGGATTCCAGTTCTAAGACTTCCAGGAAGGAGGAGACGAGCAGTTTGTTTTCCAAGAGTTCCAAAAAGAAGGCGTTCTGTGCGCCGTAATTCGACTGTCTTGCCGGATGATACAGACAGCGATTCCGACCTTTCTCAGTTGTCATTCAGGTCGTTCTATTTGCCATGGAGGGGAGGTCGGCCATTAAGCCGAAGTTTGAATACAGAGCGAGGCGCATTCTCCTCCATTGATGGCGATCTTGAAAGCCCAACAGCGACCTCGAAGACTGCGCGACTGAAAGAGTTGTTCGCGCAAACACGTCGATCTGTCTTGAGCCTCACTGCATTCAGGCGACGATCATCCTGGCCACCTGCCGCAGCGCAAGTGGAAACTGATCAAGGGATTGATGATTCCGTTGCTCCTCGATCCAGAATTCTCTCTGGTGTAATTGAAAAGTGTTCGTCGTCTGGTGCTTCCGAACCAATTAAGAGCTCACGACGGATGGAGGGCACTGATGCTTTCCGTGGATTTTCAGCGGATCTTGAAACACCTTTTCCGTATTCAAGAACGGCTCAGTCTGACACAGTGGATTCACGGTCCGCATCACGAGTGACATTATCAAGCAGAAATTGGCCCGGAGATCCATATGGCTGGATATCGAGCCCACGTTCTCAACCTTATTGGTCTCCGAGGGGGTGCAAAGACGGAAGGGCAGCTGGTCGAATCGCCAAGGTTGCAAAAACAGGAAGAAGCTCACGTGGCTATCGATATGAGGGCTGACGAGGGTGGAGTCTCATTTGCGATACAAAAACCAGAGAGAAGGTAGTTCAAAGGGGCCGTCCTATTTTCAAGGAAAACGTCAAAGCGTTGTATCCACCCGAGGAACGTCGAAAGTATCTTCAAACCCCATGTAAACGACATTGGGACACCATAGCAACGAAGCCCAAGTCTAAAAAAAGCCGGTGGCCTTCAAGGTGGCCTTGCTTGCTAAGGTTCTCTGACCCCAAGCTGGAAGAATCCTTCTTCACCAGCCACTTTGCCCCACAACAACGTTTCTTTCGACGCTTCATAGCTGCAGCATGTCTTGCTTTCCTCACCGTTCTTTTTCGGGGTGTCCTTGTCGGTGAGGCATCGTTTCATCGGAAACATTTTCCGATGAAGAAGCTTTTCATCACCGCTTTTTCGACTTGTTCCATTTCTCTTTTACTGCTTGCCTGTATTCCAAGCATTTCTGCTGTTCGGCGTATTCCCTGTGAGATACGGAATAAGAATCGAAGGTGGTGGGGACCGCGTCGACCTTCGTCTCCGGGAACAAATATTGATTACAGAGATTCCCGACCACAACTTTAATCGATGAGAGAATTCTCGTTTGCTTATTTCTTCTTGTAAGAAGACTTTCTTGTCTAGTCCTATCTGCTTCCTCGTTTTGCAGTTGGTTGTCAGTGAAGGTTGGTTCTTTTGGACTTTTGGCGCAAACACTGTCATCGCTGGAAATCTCAAGAGCGACGACCCAAGCCAATTGCGTCTCTGGCTCCTAATTGAGTGTATCGTTTTTCAAGTCTCGTGGTTAACGGCACTGGCTATTACTCTCACATTGGTTTTGCCAACACGGTGAGATTCCGAAATGTCGTTATAAGTCTGCTATTATTTTGCAGATTCATCCTCGCATGTTTACTTCATTTGGCATGTTTATCAATATTGTGATTTTTTCCGTGGGGTTGAGTACGAAAAACTCCGACAGTCGAAGTAACGTATATTTGTGAGTCACAGCACCACATGCTGTTTCGTTTCAAAAGTTCTGTCAGATCTTGGTTGGTCTGCCTCGGCCTCGCTCCGACCCTCGGAATTACTGCATTGTCGCGTTGGTTTGACGAGAAGCACCACCGACACATTTTTAGCGCAAATCAAAAGTTTGAGTCCACAATAGAGGAAGAGTTGAAACGACTGAAAATGGCTATGGGTCAAACTGCTCAAGTCGTTCAAAGACAACATCTTTATGACTCCGGTAGAACGACTCCACAGCTACTTGAAAGAAGTAAGCATGAACAGAATATCCCCAAGTTTACCACACCCTACTTTTTTTTATCTTGTGCTCATTTCCTATAAATGTTTTTATTCTCTCTAATTCAAATAGAATTCTCATTCCCTCAAAGTTTTAAACATATCGTTGTCTCTTCAGTTTGATATCGATGGTTGAGTGCCCTCAAGTCACCCGCGTGCTTCTCTTTCCGCTTCTTCATCTCTTAGAAGATCCTCAAAGTCTTCTGGTGTCCCCACCGAACCAGAGGCCATGCCCTGCACCCGCTCCTTTCAAACTTCGGTCATCGGCAACAACCCTAGCAGTGCGAGAACTTGGAAACTTAAGACAGCCCTTCTATCAAAAAGAGTCCTCACACAATTGCAGCTACACGACGTCCATCAGCGGCAAATCAATAATTGGCTCCGAATGTTCCGAAGATTTGTCAAGCTATGTGGAAAGAAGTCAAAGCTCTGAGAGACAGGATTCAGTCCCTCCGATGCGGAGCTTTGCTGATGAGATTCCGCCAAGAAATAGAAAAGATCCCGATCGTCACCCAAAAGTTCCTGCATTGTTTACTTTATGCCAGGATGTTGGCAAAACAATGAAACAGCCAAAAGAAGTCTCAAACTCAACACGCGCCAGTGCAGGAAATCGTCAATCCTCGTAACCAACACCCTTGTACAAAACAGTTCGAGTCGAGAATCGATGTCAATGATTTGCGCTGTCGAGTTGGTAGAGAATGGAATCTAAATATTTTGAGACTCGGCGAGGGATGCAGTGATGTGTTAAGTGCAGTTGGAGAAGCTGCTTTGTCCCACATTGTTGATAGTAAGCGATTGTACGCCGTTCATTCCAACAAAATTCCCCGTCTAATCGTTTTCATCAATAAACTGTTTTCAGGCCAAGGGGAACTTCGCGTAGACTTAGCAATTCTAAGAAACTGTTTGCGTGACATCGAACTGTCGTACTTCAATATCTCATATCATAACAGTTTACACGCTGCACAAGTGGGGTTGACTGATTTATTTAGAATCACTAATGGGTTTTTCAGGTTGCTCACCACACGTTGGCTCTGATCAATATTCTTGGGTTAAATCTCGTCATGTCCGATGCTGAATATACATCAGCGGTTCTAGCGGCACTGGGCCATGACATTGGGCATCCTGGTTCGTCTCTTGTCTTGTTTTCTTTCTTTCTTTTCTTTTTTAAGGGAGGAACAATCGCTTTATGATGCTAACATCCCATGATCTTGTACGCAACCAATATTTAATAGCCCCCCTCATCTGCTCGTCAGGCTATCATGTACAATGACAATAGCATCTTAGAAAGCTATCACTGCTCCTTACTATTTCGGATTCTTTCAAGGTCTGTTTCAACCAAGCTTGCTCGTCAATGGTCTCGTTCTCTTCAGACCAGATTCCCAATTGCTAGAATCTCTCAGCGGATGTTCTTGGGAGCGTTCACGCAAGTTGATTGTGGGAATGATTCTCGCCACCGATATGCAATTCCACTTCGAGAGATTGTCTCTACTGAGGCTTAGAAGAACGGCCAGAGACTTTTCGCCTTGGAATGATCCCAACGATCGCCAGTGCGTCAAAATGATTCCAAGATCGCCACGCATCTCTTAAACCCCCTTATATCTATTTTCAGGGGAATTCTTGAGCTTTGTTTGAAGGCAGGAGATCTGGGGTATCCTTGCCTGGACTTCGATCAATATTACGAGTGGACGGTTAAAGTCTATGAGGAATTTTTCGATCAAGTCAGCATTTTGTTTTTCTTCTCCGAATCGCCTATTTCTCAATCTTTCAGGGAGATGAAGAAGTTCGACTTGGATTTCCCATTTCTCCTTTATGCGACCGAAGCGAAGCGAATACTGCGCTGTGGTTTCAGAAGAATTCCGGATTTTGCCAGTTTGTTGTTTTGCCAATGTTCCAAGAGCTTTTTCGTTTTGAGCATTTGTTATTCCATAAGGAAGTCGCTCTTCGTCGTCATGGAGTCTTTCCCACCTCGCCGCACCCAGACTCTTCGAGAAGGAGTGCGTGCTTGAAAACGGCGAAATATGTGGCGTTTGAGGGTGATCATGCTGAAGGTAGCGCTGAGGATGAACTGATCATAAGAAGGGTTTCCGTCGTTGGATCTGATTTCCAGCTGCGTCAAAAATGGATGCGAATTCCCATCCCGTCTGAACCCTCGAAATCAACGCCAAGACCACAACAGGGACGACAGGGTGAGATTTTCATATGATGCAATGCGTATCTCTTGCTTCAGGAGTTTGGTTCAATCAATTTATCGCAAGACGGTCTCCTACAGTTACCGATACTGCATTCCCAAGCTCAATAACTAGAATTTGTCTGAAACCATTGGAAATCAATTTGTTGCGCATGAAGGATAAAGCAAATCACTGCAAAAAATGACCCAGGTTAGCTTTTCAGCAGACAGAGTTGGAGGGTTCCTCTGCTGTTTTTTATAAGTTTGCTCCTACATAAATCGTTCTTGCTCCGATTCCATACTTCATGATATTTTTCAATACTTTTCCACATAACTACTTGCTATATCCGGTACCTTTATCTTCTTTATTTAATAATTGGGTGCTTCCTGAATTTTCAAGCCAGAGAGTTTCAAAAGAGTTTTGGATAGTTAGTGCCCGTCTTTTCCATGTTTGCGTTGCTTGGCAAAATGGGTTTCTTCGATAGCGTTTGCCATTTCAAATTTCATGTTCCACATCTTTGAAATATTTTGCGCGAGTGTGACTCTTCATCTTAATTTTTCTTCCATGAACATCATGAAAAGAACCTTCCAGAAATCGTTTAAAAACTAACAAATTAAATAAAAATGCGAAGTTGAATCAAAAAGAAGAAATATGAGATCACCCGCTCTTCAAAGTCGAGTTCTCATTCTCTGAGCTTTCAACGTCTGACGCAAGAATGGAATAGCGATCAGGAAGGCGTCCTGTGGCCTCCGCTCGTTGACGCGCTTTGATGGCGAGTTTCTCAGCTTTTCGTGAACCGAAATCATCAATGCAGAAGCTCAAGTAGCGCCTCTTTGTCTGTCCGCTTGGCTCCACCTGATAGAATGATGCCACCCAACTGCGCTTTGAGGGTTGGTAAGTAACTCCCTTGATTCCGTTTCCCGTCGAGTATTGCTGGGACCGCTTTTTGTCGGGTAGATCGGACTGTTTTCTCTGACTTTGTTGAAATTGTTCAGCTCGTTTTTTAGCATCCATCAAACCATAGTTGCGCACGGGAAACGTTTTGTTGTGTCTCCTCCCATTGGTATAATAATAACATTGCCAAACCTCGGACGACTTGTTGAAATAAACTCCCCTGACATCAGATGAGAGAGTCTTATGGATCTCATCATCCGTCATTCCTTTGCAATATTTTTTAACGATTTCGAGGTGCCGTCGCTTAGCAGTTTCATCTCTGCGGACCGATTGCGATGCTGACTTGCATCTACTTGATTTTCCGTGACTTCTTCTGGGGGGCTGCGTGGAATCATCGGTGTCGGTGTCGATGGTCGACATCATCTCTCCAGCGCTGGATCCGCTCTCTGTTGAATGCGAGGAGTCTCCTGACGAAGGCGAGGGAGGGGGAGATTGTCGGTCAAGCGACCGCGTCGTATGAGGTGATGGGACATCAGAGAAGTACTGGAATCCTGTCTGCTGATTTGGATCGAAACTCGTATTGATGGGTCTAGACGCCATCAATTGAAGAGTTTGCCAAGCATTTTTTGCAGAACGAAGACGCTTTAGAACAGGACTGGCAGCTAGATGAAGATCTTTCGGCAGAATTGCGGAAGAAAGCAAGTTCTCGACTTCACTGAAAAGCTGGGCTGATTGCACCAACATCAAGCTCTTGCTAACTGTAGACGAAATGGGAAAAAACCCGGGGGAACTTTTCGAAGATCGTGTTAATAAAGTTAAGAGTTTGAGCTCTTGAAGAATCGCTGAGGCTGTACACTTCCCCACAGCAGTAATGGCTTTGCGAACACGACTCCACAGCTCTTCCATAATGTCAACGCAGATGGTTTTTATCCCTAGAATGAAAAGAGTTTGAACATCTACGCAGCATTCGGTCTCCTGGAGAAGATATGGATCGATTTGGGGTCCTCGTTTTGGTGAAAGAGCCAAAGTTGGTTTGAGAGATGGAAGTTGGTCGGGAGGAATATTAACGAGCCACTCCACGAAATTTGGATTTTTCCATCCAATTGCTGTTTTGGCTGTTGGTGAATCAGAAGGAGATGACTGTGGGGATGTGGATAAGAGAAGCATGTCGGACTCAAAACGAGCAGGGACGGATAAACGTGTAACGTTGCTGAGAATCATGAGCAATGACTGGCTGGTTTGGTCAACCGTTCCCTCTTCCTTCATGAATCCAACGCCAAATCGTTCGAGAGATTCAAGAACTTGATTGGAAAGAACGACTAAGTTTGAGTTAATAAGCTGTGTTGGCTCAGAATAGCGCTGAAGGTGCTTGCAAATTACTTCTGCAATCTCATAACCCCAAAATTGAAGCACCAAACGAAGTGTATCTGGGTTGCTTTGTAACTGAACGTTAGTTCTCAATCCTCCCCCTTCCTCATTCCTTCTGCTCGCGTGCACATTCGTCTTCACACCTTGATTTGATGTTTTCCGAGATCTCCGTTTTGCTGGGTCGCACTGACCATCTTCTTCTTCTTCTTCCGTATCTCCAACCTGAACACCGCTGCAGTCTCGGGGACTTCTAGGCGACAGTCTGGCTTCACTTCGCGTTGAGCTTGAAGCGCAATCCAACGTGTCTTTTAGTCCATTTTCATTCTTAACGTCGCTTTGATCAAAATCGGATAACTCTGATAAGCGTAAGTTTGTTTCTGCCAAGCGTGGCTTTTTTCGAAGGTGTTCTGGGGGGAAGGAGTTCTGCGGAGGAGGTTCTTCGATGCTTGCTTCTGTTTTCAATTCCCCGTTTTTTCGCTTTCTTGGGATATAGGGATAGCTGTAATCGTCCGTAGCATCTTCACTATCTCCAAAATGACTTTCCTTCTCTAAATTTTCTGATCTTGTCACTTCTTCTTGAGAAGCAACGGATATCAAACAAGCATCAACCAAGTCTCGAATTTCATTTCCCCATACTTCTTGAAGGGAAGCTTGTTGGACGTCTGTTGGTGATGTCGTCGTTTGGAGAGAAATGGTCTCGTTCATCATCGAAGAATTTTGATCAAAACGAGCGTTGGTTTCAGGTAGGAATCCATCCTTCGGTAGGTCTAGCATGCCTTGTTCATTTATTGGAAAATTGTCGAAGAGTTAATGAAGAGAAAATAGTTGATTGGAGACTGTTGGCCGTTTCTGTGCCAGAACTTTCTTAGATTACAAATTTTCAACCCAATACTCAACTGATTGCTCTTTTTTCTCTAGAAAACATTTGAGGAAAAAGCTGCATTTCAGGTTTCACTTGTTGGTCGCTTAGGGTTGAAGCCGAATGGTCGCCTGGAAGAAAACGTGCTCTCGGTCTGTCAGACGTCAATCGCAAGCAAAAAAAGAACGAAAACAGCAGAAGAAGCCAAACAGCTCACGGAAAATGGAAACATTTGCATCCCACATGATTTTGCAACTCTGTTCCTGGTATGTCCTAATCAGTCCCGGTTGTTCTCTTGAAGAATGGAACTTCTGGTTGATTCTTCCGCTGCGTCTCGAGTCGCATCATTGACGGCGCATTTTTTGGGACTCGTTAGAGACGATGTCGTCATTGTAAAGAAAGACGACTCGAAAAATGACGTCAGTTTCTGTTCCGTCACTCATGTTTTCTGACTGATCAACTTCCCTCTCTTTTTTTTTTAGCTTCCTGTACTTCTCTCTTCTGAAAATGGGGTGATTCATCAGGCAACCGTCATTTCTAGATACTTAGCGAGTCTCACCAGAAGGGATATTGCTGAATCTCTCTACAATCCACGCAATCAAGTGTGTTCAACCCTGTTCAATGATTAGTTGTTTGCATTTCTTTGTATCGGTTGCTTCTCTATTTTCAGCCAGAATTGGATAAGTGGTTGTCTTTTGCAGCAGAGAGAAATTTCAAGTGCTCCGATGCAAACTCTCTTCATGTAGGAATCTGCTCATCCGAAAATGTTGCGCTTTTATGTCTTGACTTGTGTTTTATTGACCCCAGACGTTGAATTCGCATTTGGCATCCCGAACGTTTTTAACAGCGGAGCATTTAACGCTTATCGATCTCATTATTTTCGCTTCTATTCATCCCTGGATGGTATGGAAGTAGAATTATTTACTTTAAGAGTGTTGAGACTCTTCAGATCTCGATTCTGTTCTCCTTCTTCTTTTAATCTTGAGTGTCTTTGACGGCATTCCCTTGTATTAGGTCTCTAGTTCCTCGAAGGAGAAGATTGCTAATCAACATGTGACGCGCTGGTTCAACCATGTGCAGCATTTACCAGGTGAGGACAATATGTAATGCAGCAGCTGGAGAACTGAGAATGCAATGCAATCGTGCGATCTTGATGTTTTTGTTTTTTTCTCAGGAATCTATCAAGTGAGCGAAATCGAGATTCCATTCGTTGAAATTGAAATGAAGGAAAGCCGTCTGCCAACAGTTCCGCAATCTGCAACTAAGGAGGAAGGAGGAAAACAGATTCGCGCTGAAAAGAAGACAGACAAGTCAGAGAAAAAATCAGTGAAAAAGGAGAAACAGCCCAAGGGGAAACCTAATGACAAAGGGGAAGAACAAACCAGACCAATCGAAGACGTGACTCGACTCGAAATCCGTGTGGGTATGATTGTGAAGGCATGGTCTCATCCAGAGGCTGATAAGTGAGAACATTGAAGTTGATCTGTCGCATTCATATTGGATTTTAGACTCTATTGCGAAGAAATTGACATCGGTGAAGAATCTCCTCGACAAATTGCATCTGGATTGAGAGAACACGTTTCTCATGAAGAGTTTGAAGGGCAAAAGGTGTTGGTATTGTGCAATACGAAGGAGAAGAAGCTCAGAGGATTTCCCTCTCATGGAATGGTTTTATGTGGAAAGAAGGACTTAGGGGACGGTAAAGAACGCGTCGAACTCGTCAAACCGCCGAAAGATTCAAATGTGAGTGAAGAGTTTCGAAAAATCACTGAAAATATAATTTTATCAGATTGGCGAACTTATTCGATTCGAAGGTCTTGCTGGAAATCCTGACGAAGTCCTTCAGACAAAAACGGGAAAGGATCCCTTTGTTGCAGTTCAACCTGTTCGTCTTGATTGCTGGAAATTGCTCCTGATTTTGTTTTTTCAGGGATTTCGCGTTGACTCTAATGGCATCGCATACTACAAGGTAGGCTGTTTGGTTGAGTTGCTTTGGTTGAGTTGCTTTGGTTGAGTTGTTTTGGTTGAGTTGCTTTGGTTGAGTCGCTTTGGTTGAGTTGCTTTGGTTGAGTTGCTTTGGTTGAGTTGCTTTGGTTGAGTTGCTTTGGTTGAGTTGCTTTGGTTGAGTTGCTTTGGTTGAGTTGCTTTGGTTGAGTTGCTTTGGTTGAGTTGCTTTGGTTGAGTTGCTTTGGTTGAGTTGCTTTGGTTGAGTTGCTTTGGTTGAGTTGCTTTGGTTGAGTTGCTTTGGTTGAGTTGCTTTGGTTGAGTTGCTTTGGTTGAGTTGCTTTGGTTGAGTTGCTTTGGTTGAGTTGCTTTGGTTGAGTTGCTTTGGTTGAGTTGCTTTGGTTGAGTTGCTTTGGTTGAGTTGCTTTGGTTGAGTTGCTTTGGTTGAGTTGCTGTGGTTGAGTTGCTGTGGTTGCTTTGGTTGAGTTGTTTTGGTTGAGTTGCTTTGGTTGAGTTGTTTTGGTTGAGTTGCTTTGGTTGAGTTGTTTTGGTTGAGTTGCTTTGGTTGAGTTGTTTTGGTTGAAGAGGAATTCTCGCTGCAGGAGCACAAGTTTTTGACATCGGCAGGGGATTGTCTGTGTGTTACGATCCGTGACGGAGGAATCAGCTAAACTAGTCTTAGCTAGGATCAGAATCTGTATAAGGAAATACAGTCGTTGTATTCAGACTCACGTTCACCGTTTCATCATTTTGAATAGCTGCAGATGCTTTTGTAGGAAAAAGCGTACAAACACGTGTTGTTAACAAACATAAAAAAATGAAATCTATTGAGACGACTTGTTGGTACTCATGAGGGACCGCATACTCTGAATAGAAATATGGGAAAATGAGACACAAACAAGGAAACCACCGAGTCTTTTCTTACTTCAACAAATGGTCGTCAGCCGCTTTGGCCGTGACATCTTCAGGTTGGACCCTTCTGGGCAGTTTTGCGATGGGTGAATGAGCGATAGGAGTGAGGCTGCCAGCTTCGTCAGAATGGGCAGGGGGGGTGCTTGCAGGCACATCATCATCATGTAAACTCAACGGCGTTCCAGCCGTCGTTGGAGGTGTTGAACAAGCAGAAACCTTTCCCAGTCTCTTTGAATTAACTAGACGATTGCCTTGTCCAAAATCACCCTGTTCAGCTGTCTTTCTTTCCTGGAGCGACATTTCCTGCGAACAATCGTCAATGCTAACGAAGAAATGGCGGATCTCACTTGTAGAAGACTGGCAAGATCAGCTTGAGGTCTTTTGACAGAGGCGTGTGCCATTCGGCGAAGATCTTCCTGCATGATCAGAAAATTACTGTTGGTTGAATCCGATTCATCCCTCACCTCCATTTCACCTAAAAAGTGCTGCTGAGGACCAAGAACGCTTCCCGGACGACAGATTCGATTCCATGAAATCCATTCCCGGCCTGTGAAGCTAAAAGGGAATCCACAGAGTTGCCCACATGCGACCCACCCAAAGTGTTTGATAGCGTAGCAGCCGATCAAGGTGCCCGTCCGCCCTAGACCTGCTTTGCAATGCACAGCAATAGCACCGGCTTCACGTTCAGCAATATCGAGAAATCGAGAAATGATTTCCCTAAAGAGGATCATCGTGTGTGTCTGAAGATATGATCTCACTTCGATGGACAAGATCCATCAAGAAAATACAAATCGATGTGGTCGATTCCCTGGGAAGTAAAGCTTCGTCGGTCGTACTGTTTCTTGTTTAATCGAATGACGAGTTTGACACCCTGAACCAAGAATTGAGAGACCTCAACAAATCCATGAGACAGTCCATACCATACGCCTAAAGATTGGAACATAATCACTTGGCGTGAATGTGATATACGTGTCATCGTCATCATGTCGAGTGTTACGAATCTCTTCAGGTCCACTGAACGCTATGAATTTATTTGGAATAATCCAGTTTAAGTCGCCGTTTTCGAGTCGCTCGTAATATTCGTATGTTGTTATATCGAAACTGTCGTAATCAAACCAGCCCAACTGTTTAGGAAAAGGACGGGATTTCGTGAGGCCTTACAACACTCTAGGCCAACCTGAATCCCTTTATCCAATCCTCTAGCGCAGTCAAAAAGTGTCAGTTGATAGCTGCAGGATCCGTATGTTGCATCCCTGAACGGCAGCAGAGGGGGCTGGGAATTGAACATTTCGACAGCAGCGTCTGGTTCCCAACCCAGCAAGACGACGCAGAACGAAACCATCAGATACGCTGCATTGGAACGTTTGTGCATGTCAGCCGTCGTGTAGTGGACGATGCGGCGGTCAGCCAGCCGTGGATCCGTCAACTGACAGCGACGAAGAAAACATCAAACACGCTTATGAGTCAAATCTCACTCAAGGGGAGATTCTTGCGACCGACAACTCTCTTGCTTGCCTACGCACCTTCTCTTCGAGGAGCTCACAATAGCGATAAGTATGTCCCAAATTCAATGGGCCGAAATCCGCAAAAAAAGGCTCATAGACAAATTCGGAGTCCAAATTGAAGAAATGCGTCTCATGTGCACTGGGACGGCTCCCGTCGAAAACCGTGAGCCAGTACAATCGGTCTGGGATTACTTCAACAGCATTCGCAAGAAGCGATGGAGCTAGAGTCTCCACAGGACTGACGAGCAGTCCTCTCGCTAACGCAGCATCAAGGGCTCCTCTAGGAAGATTATGAAATCGCCGTCCTGCTGTTGGCAGTAACATGGAGGCGCGGGTTACGTCGTTTTTTGGAGATCGACGCGATCGGGTTTTGCTGGAAACGCCACGCCGATTCGTTGCAGGAACAGACTCTTTGTATCCCTCGAAAGCCCCCAAGTTCAAGTCGTCTTCCTCAACACGAGACTCCAAGAGTGAAGGAGTCTCGGAGATGATGGATTCTGATGGAGACCTTTCTTCTTTCCGCGTAAATCTTTGAGAAAGGCGCTGAAAAATTGTTGAAGTGCTGCTGTCGAAAGATCGTGTCGCAGAAGCCGATCGTGTCCGTTCTGGGATCGGATCGCCCGGACTTGACCCAGAAGGTTCACGTCGTGCGCGAAAGAGAGAGTGGGAAGCGAATCGTTTGACCTGCGAGGAGGACGGATACGTCAAATAAGGAAAGTCGTTCAAAATTCCCCGAGTAAGATTCACTCAGCTTGATTTAGTACAGAAGTTGATGATTCTCTGGATCAACGATTCTCACCAAACGGAACGACCTGAAGTCGTTGTTGGGATCCTCCTCGGTGGATTGTCCCTCTGAGGGAATGACAGTAGTCTTCGCTCCGAGATCTGGACTCACGCTGCTTGTTTAAAAGTTTTCGAATCCCGCGGGAATACGAACTTTTGTTACCACCAGAATGCTCACAAAGGGAAAAAAGCTCTTCTTGAGTTGGGACTTTGAGAGGTGATGGATCCACGCTCGCGTAAATGTCACCAGTTGCAGCCGGACTTGGAACTAGAGTTGTGGAGTGCATGGAGGCAGAGGAAATGCATCAGACATACATTACAGAACGATTAAAAAACGACATCAAAAAAGTGCGATGGCTTAAGACGAATTATTGAAGAAGAAAAAGAAGTCAGATTAAAAAAAGCGGACTACGAATATTTCGTCACAAAGTTCAACGCATCAAGTTTCAGCGAGCAAGACGTGATAGGCACTCCGCAAGAGGACTGCGTCTGTGCGTGGACAGTTCGTTTGAACACACCAAAACACTACAAGGGTAAGACAACTCAAAATCACAATATTAAGCGGCTTCAATCTCCACCCTTTCTTCGCTTAATTGCTTGAGGGCTGAAAAAAAAATGAAGGAATAAAGCAGACCGGACCGCATTTCGTACCTTCGAGCTGGGACAGAAGTTCCGCTCTTCTTCGCTGAACGACTTCGCTGCTTCGCGAGTTTTCCTTTTTCATCGTCTCGAGTTTCGTTTCGAGAGCTTCTAGAAGAGATGGGCAGTCCTGGAGCGTGAGGGGAGCTTGAACCCCAAGACGTGAGAAATCTCCCAGCGTTGAGATGTCGTGAACAATAGGATGATTCAGAGAAACAGAAGGTTGCTTCCTTCCCTTTTTTTCATTTCGTTTCTTTGTTGGCTTAAAATAGTATTCCTCATCCCTGAAATAGAATCATTATCTCTTTGTCTCGACGCTTTTCGTCTCCAAGTTTCGTTCTCACCGGTCCCTTTTCGGTTTCATGGCAACCATTCCCTCATCAGCTGCAGGAATGTCCTGCACCTCTGTCTTTTCTTCAGAGGGCTTATTCCCCTGTTGTGCTTTGTCAACAAGTTTCTTCAAATAAATTACAATCTGGTTTGTCAACTGTAATGTGGGGGACCACTCCTCCTCCAAATCATCCAAGGCATGCTGTATAGTCTCTCGCTTGCGTTCCACATCTCGACGTTCCTGCTGCTTCACTCTCTAATAAAACAATACTGTTGCCTGATCGTTCCACCTGAATAGATCTTACTGCTTCTCGTTCCTCCCGGTTAACCTTCGCTCTGTGCGCAAAATATTCGCGTCTTTTGTTAAACATCTCGTCTCGAAGCTGGTTCATCTACAATACAGCGATGATGCACGCTCAACTCTCTACCCATCCATCCCTACCTCAGTCTTCTTTTCGGCAATCTTTCGTCTAATTTGATCCTTCTCATCTGATAATTCGCGAATAGGAGAAATTCCGGATGACCGTTCGCGCATCAATGCTGCCAAATTTTCCCCCAACGCTCGCTTCTTGTCTTGGCATTTCCTCAATTCATCTCTTAGAAGTTCAAGTCGTCGCACCAAGTCTTTCACGGCTTCATCCGAATTTTTGTGAGCATCGTTTTCCATGTTGGCATATTGTTTAATGAGAGGTTTCGTGCTTTCCAGAGAGCGAATCTCAGCGATTAATTTATTCTCTTCTGTCACAGTGAGACGTTTCGCCATAATATCGCGCTCAATTTGACTGAACAAAACAAAATGAATGCACGACGAAAACGCTATTTCCTACTGAATTTTCGCATCAATATCCTTCGTGGATTGAAATCCAAGCGATTTTCTTAATTCCTGAACTTTATTTTTCTGCACAAAAATAGAATCAAGATACAAAGGCAACAATCCAAAGGGCTTAATACAAGATGACTAAATTCGTTATGAAAGATGTATTTCGGCCGCCTACTTTGTCACGTCCACTTTTTGCAACCTCCTCCATTTGGGTTACCATTCGATTCCGTTCTTTTTCAAGGGAGTCCATTTGGGACTGAACATCATCAAGACTTCGACGATACTCTTCGCGCTTCTTCTGAAACTCCGAGTTTCCTTTCAGTCGATCCTTCATCGTGTTACTAATCTCGTCAAGTCTCTTGTGCAATCCATCAGTTTCTTTGCGTAGGACATCGAGTGCATTCCTGATATTTCTTTTCGTTTGGGACATCGACGCGACCCCCAGGAATTCCCGGTGTGGAAAAATTTGATGTTGGGGAGTTTGTTCCCGAGGCGGTGCTTGTCATGGAATTCAGAACGCCGAAAAAAGTAAGAATTGAAATGGAACGGAAAACTTTTTGAGCTGAACAATCAGGAGAAATCAAGACGCAAAATTGATGAAGAGAACGGAAAGTATTGAGAGAGAGCGATGGGCAAAATGAAAGATTACCTGAAGTTGTTCACAGATTTTGTGCTGATCAAAATGTCCCGTTGAAGGAAAATAAAAAAAGAGTATTTCCTGTGGAATAGGCACACCCTATTTGTTATTCAAAATACTTCTCAAACATCAAACGGAAATGGACCGTCGCCTGAGGAACATCAACGGATCTGCCAAACCAGCTGCATGAGGGACTAGTGTAACCGATTCGAAACACAAACAATCTTGGGAATCAGTAGTGAAGCATAATTCATAGCCCAAGCGTCATGGTCCTATGAGTTCAGGGCAAGGCAACCCTGGCGTCTCGCCAACAAGCCCTCCAATCTCTGGGCTTCCACTCTCGGCAGCTCCTCGTGAAGTAGCGGGCGTTTCTTTGTATTTTTTGCAAGACGAATTCATCAAGTACGTGTTTGAGATTCGGACTGCTGCTGCGGCTATCACTGCCGCTTCGAAAGCAACAACAGCCGTGGAAGCTCAATCGGCTGGAGACACCGCAAAGACTACAACATACGATTTTGGAATGGCTCTAGTTGAGGAAGTTGGCTTCAATATCGGTTTGCGTTTGGTTGAGAGGTAAACCTAGATCCATATTTGACATCACACGAAATAGTCTGGGATTAGATTAGTGCTCACTCGAGCACGCATATGGGACCAGCGCGAAAGTGTAAAGTTCATCTGTAAGGACGTTTGGGGATTCCTATTCCAAAAGCAAGCAGACCGCCTTCAAACAAACCGTCGCGTCAGTGCTCCCGCGTGTTGTTCCGTATTGACCTTTTTCTTTGTCCCAGGGCGGATACGTCATTCTCGACAATAGCCTTCCATCACTTCATCAACCTCCTTTTTACTCTCCTTCGGATACATCTGTCCCAACGCATCATCTGCCTGCAACACGCCTGATCCATATCTGTGGAATTATTCGAGGAGCGTTGACGAATCTAGGATTTCCCTGTCACGTCATCGCTGAGTCCTCCACGCCGCCGATGTGTAAGTTCAAGACAATCTGTGTGTGATTCAGATTGGCTTTCAGGTTCGTTTCAAATCCGCCTTAAATGATGAATTCGAGAACCCTCGAAGCCAAAGACTCGAATGGTGTGGACGAACTGGATTATGTTGCGTATCAATCGTTGAGCCACCAGCATGGGTTTTCTCTAGAAGGGCTGAGGGCACTCGATGATGCAGAACAAACTCTATCATATAACCTAGTATTCAGTGCCAGAATCAATTGGAGTGCATTGGGCTTACTGTCCAACGGGGAGGACCCCCTGTGCCTGTTTTCTTCTTTTCAAACACGAATTGTATCACTCATCTTGCAGCACGTTTCTGAGTTCTCTTCCTGTAATCACCAAACTTTCCTGGATGACTTTCCAAAATCAAGCAGAGCTGTTCCAGCTGTCGGCAGCGTCTGCGGCTTGCTGCAGCAGGTCAATTGCACTGGATGACTTTGCTACATAGCTTGCAGCGCCAAGTTTCTTGGCGGCTTTCACGGCTTCCACTTTTCTGGGGTTAGGACGGATAGCTTGAGAGCCAACGATATGTCCTAAAAGCGGGACGTCCGACTTGACGAGTTCACATTTACGGATTTTGACGAAGAATTCGAACTCAACACATTTTTCCAAGACCCGCTCGAATCTCCGGAGAAGTTCACCAATGGAGTTTCTGAATATTACGATATCACCGTCGCTGTACAGTTCTCCGAATGCCCTTTGTGCGTCACTATTGCTGTTAATGGCTTCGATTCCAGAAGCCGTTGATTAGATCAATTGCTATGTAATAGTGTGCGGCAAGTTGGAGGTTGTCCCACAAGTGAGGCAACGGGTACACGTCTGACTCAATTCGTTTGTTAACACCCCGGTAATCCAGGCTTTTTTGTGAAAACAGGACATGAACCCCATGGGGATTTGGAGGGGCGTATAGCCCCATCTGCTAGCAATTTATCGAGTTGTTTGTCTAATTCTTCGCGAAGCTCCTTCGCTAGTGGACGAAGTTTTTGCTTGATGGGATTTGCCGTCGTTGTAAAGGTGGCTTGGCCGGTCTTTACTTGTCCAACTCTTGGGCGGAGTCACGCCTCAG